CCTACTCCCACAGACCACATGATTGTGTGAACGCCCTCCCCCGACCTGTCACAGGTGTCTTGGTCAGACTGGCTGAGCTGTCCCTGACTGACTCTCTAAGCAGAATGCAAGGAGCTCTGTACCTCTTACTGCCTCAAAGAACTCAGCCACCTGGGAAAGAGCCCTGCTATTTATTGCCAGTAAACAAAGCTCTCTAGGTCTTGGGAAGTGCGGGATGAAAGCAGATGAGGGCTAAAACTGCACATTTTTAAGAGGCATCTTTGTCTTTTGGAATGGCAGCGCATGTCTTCAACCTGACTGAAATTATTAACATGGAGTTTCAAACACCATTCTGTGGGAAAAAATGTACCCCCCTGAAAATTAAAAACAAAGCACAGATGTGGTTCATGATGCAAGGATTCATGATGATGGTTACTTGGATTGTGGAAAATTGTGGGAGGGCTGTGTCAGGACATGTGAGTTACTTGCAAGGTTCTAGTTTTTATGGTGCCAGGTGGGGGCAACGATATCTTGTGTATCAGAATACAGCATGACTATATTTTATGATACTTTGAATTATAAACACTTGAAATCTTATTTGAGTGGCATTTTTTTGAATGACAAGAACTCTAGCAATTTCAAATTTCCTAAAAATCCTTACTGTCTATAGGATCACTTGTGTAAACTGTAAACAGTGTTTGTTATTTTAGGATCACTTTGGCTGGTGAAGAGACATGCCAATCATCTCTAGTTAGGGTTGGCCTTGTACTATGCAGGTTTTGAATGGTGCAACGTCTTCAAGAATGACCCCCTGGCATAAAAATCTAGCAACTCTGGAAATGGTGAATGAATGGATGGATATGTTTGTTCTTCCCAAAGATCTGCTCACCAGGGAAAGCATGGCTGCTCACATTGCTCAAGACACAGACATTCACAAAACACCAACACTGTGCTAAATAGTGCAAGAGACACCAGAGGTGTGTCCCCTTCCCCTAAGAGGATGATCTCCACAACTACTTAAGGAGCAGGAAGCTTTCAGGATCTGATTTTAGCTATTTCTTTATTTAGTTAGTTTTAGAGAAAGGAAAAGGAAAAAGAGAGATACATCAATTGGTTGCCTCTTACATGACCCCAAATGGGGACCTGGGACCTCAATGCAGGCATGAGCCCTGACAGAACTGAACTGGTGAACTTTCAGTTTGCAGGTGGTCAATCAGTCCACTGAGCCACATCAGCCAGGCCCTGATTTGAACTTTTGATCTGATAGTCCTACACAACTCTAGTTCTTCCCTACTTTTTGAACTTTTCGTGGAGTTGTTGGCCCAGTGGCTTTGGATTCCAAATCCTATAAACTAGATTTCTTTATATTGAAAATATTTTTTTTATTGGCATCTGCCTTGCTTTCTGTAATTTCATCTCCTTCACAGTGGGAACTGTGTGTTTCTAATACACTGCTGAGTCACCAGCTGTTAGGACTATTTTGGGCACATGCAAGATATTCCATGACTTTTTTCTCAAGGGATTAAATGAGTAAAAGGTGATGCTTATTAATGTAAAGCATTCCAATGTCTCCATATGGGCAAGTCATTGATTTAAGAATGAAAGTGAGTGAGCTGCACCAAGTGCATCAGTTGTCTGGGTGCAGCCCATGGTCTGTGCAGCCAGGCCACCCACAATCATGGAAACCCTGTTGGGTAAGACTCTGTCTGCCAGGAGCCCAAGCCACAGGCAGGGGAGCTGTTGTTCCCTCCTCTGGGCCATCTATCGATGGGGGCCTAAAAAGCAGGGCTGTATGGCACCAAGTAAAGACTTTTGTAAGTAAGGATCACCCCACAAGGAGAAGAATCTACTTCACATTTTAAATGTTTCAATTATTTGACAGAGACTGAGGAAGATATATTTTTCCAATCACTTAGTGCATTCATTGGTTGATTTTTTTTCCAATTTTAGGGAGAGAGAGAAATCAATTTGTCTTTCCTCTTTTTATGCGTTCATTGGTTGGTTCCCTCCATTTGGACACCAAGAACCAGAGGCTAAGAAATGGAGATTTCGAGAAAACTATGGCCAACTTGCACCTTGTAGGCTGAAGAGCAAATACGTCACACAGGAAAAAAAAACAACACACAACATGAACATGAAAAGATTTAACTTAATTTAACCATAAATGGGCATAAAGTCTACATTATGCAGCAGAAAAAGTCCTAGAGATCTACTGCTGTACAAAATTGTCCTCTAACTAATGATACCATCTTGTACAAAGAAAATTGGGTTAAGAAGGTACTTCTCATGCTCTGTTTGGGTGGCTCAGTTGGTTGGAGCACTTTCCCATACAAAAGCTTTCAGGTTCAATTCCTGGTCAAGGTATATACCTCAGTTGTGGGTTGGATCCCACACTGAGGTACATTTGGAAGGCAAAGGATAAATGTTTCTCAAATCTCTCTCTCTCTATTCCCATTAAATTAATAAACATATCCTCCAGTGAGAAAAAAAAAAGATGGTAGATCTCGAGTTTTTGTCCACAAGAAATGACATTTTAAAGGCAAAACATGAAAAATGTAAGGTTTCTACTTTTCACATTACCTCCCTGTGTCATACTCTTGTTTGCTAACATGTAATAAATTTCACTGAAGTTTTACTTCTTTAAAAAAGATAAAAACAATAAAAACACAAAGGGGAGTGCACAGTAGATACTATTGTCAATTGTTCATTTTTTCATTTAATGCTATATCTCAGAGCATCTTCAGTCATCAGTATCTTCAGTTCCTCCTCACCATTTTTTTAAGATTATTTATTTATTTTTAGAGAGTGTGGAATGGAGGGAGAAATGGAGAGAGAAAAGCATCAATGTGTGGTTGTCTCCCACCTGCCCCTCACCAGGGACCTGGCCTGCAACCTAGGCACATAGCCCAACTGGGAATTGAACTGGCAAACCTTTGGTTCCCAGGCTGGCACTCAATCCACTGAGCCACACCAGCCAGGGCCTCACTATTTCTTGTGCAGACAGATCCTAATGGATCTGGCCAACCTGCTAAGGACCAATCCATGGATGTTGTCAATGTTTCTTCTCTTCCAATCTGCACTGAGCCCTGGACTGAGAGGACAATGTCCTGTCCCCCAGTATTTATACGGATGTATAAATGGCCAGTTGGGGCTATGCTCCAATGTCATCTTCTGAGAGAGACCCTCCCTGAACAGCTGAAGCTGAAACAGCCCCTCCAATCACTTTCTAGCTCATCACTTGTGATCTGGCTCAGTAATGAGCAGTGGGGGGCTCCCTGAGACCAGGGCCTGTGGCTTGCTCTCTGCTGGACACACAGCACCTGGAACAGAGGAGGCACTCACACACTTATTGAATGACTTGCTGTTCACCTAGAGCCTCTTGTCTCTTGAGATTTCTGCTCATCAGTGGATGCAAAAATCCTAGGTGTTCATGGATTAGATATTCACTTTCTTATATCTTCAAACAGCCTCTCTCCAACTACTAAGCAGGAAAGAAAACAACTCAGGCTCCCATGGGACCCAATTCCACCATGCCCCTGTGCATGACACCAGTCACATGAACCTCCCTGTCACATTGAATTCAGCAGTGAAAAAAATGCCAGCTGCACACTTGTCTCTCCTTCTCCTCCACTTCTCAGCCCCTCCCAGCCCCTCAGGAAAGCAGGTGATCACCTGTAAGGACACTTTCCCTTCTAGACAGCTCCTTAAGAATCTTGGACCAAAGGAAAATTCTCCTGATGACATTTCATGCCATGAGAGGATGCTTATTGGGTAAGTGAGCATCCATGGAAAGGAGATGAGAAATCAATGAATCTCCTAGTGTTGCTGGTGTAGGTGTGTGTGTGGTGGGGAGAGGGATGTAATTTCCTGCTACTAATATCAATGGTCATGGGAGACCAGAAAACACCAGGGAAACCATTCTGATAATAAGCATTAGACGTGGTGTGACCATTCCCAAGCCAGGAATCCAGACTGCAAGAGGGAAGTGGCCTGGTGCACGCTTGCTTGGTTCTGGGCGTTCCTGTGGGGTATGTGTGCTCCCTCCCCCAAAGTGTTGACACTCATTTGGACAGGACATCCAGTACCTGCAACTTGCACATTTGACGACTGTTTAAAATGACATTGGTCTTACTTAATTAAATCTTTTATTTTGAAAAATTTAAAGACCAATGTGAGATACTTTGGAACCTGAAGAGACTGTTACTTCCCAATCCTGAAAAAAATATTTTTCCTCCTCGTGAACCACCTGGTAACTTCTACAACTTATGAGCTTGGGGCCTTCCAGCTGGTGTTGCAGGGAAACTAGGGGCTGTGTGTGAGGAAAACGAGGAAACATACAGATGGCAGCAACCTCATCTTTGGACTAGATCCGAGTGTGTTTGACAAAGGGACAATGTCCCCATGGAGCTCACCTCCTCCTCTTCCTCCATCCTCTGCCTCCTCCACTTTACTGTGGAGAAGAGGGAGACCCAGAGACACTAAATGCGATGTCCAAGGTCATGAGTCAGTCACTCCTGCTCATACAGCAACCACAGTGCCTCTGGACACACTCCCAGGTACCAGACCTGTAGGTGGGCTTACTTTCCACATGGCACTGCAGATGCAAATGGCGAGCATGGCACAGCCAATCCACAGCACCCACATTCCTAATACCACTATGAGTAGGACTTCTCTTGCGTTCTCCATGTGGGCTCCAATATCAAGCCTGGCATTTGCCCATGGGCTTATGACCTGCCTGTCAGGTGTGGATTCTGAGCTCCACACCTCCCTGCTATGTGTCTGGTGAGGTTTAAGTTCCTGCTGAAGGTTCCTCCCACATGTCACACAGGCAGGGCTTCTCTCCCACATGGATCCTCCAGTGGACAGAAAGCAAGAAGTTCCTGATGAAGGCTTTGCCGCACCAGCCATTCTTACAAAGGTTCTCCTCAGAGGTGGTTGGTCATATTTTCCTGCAGGGACAAGTGTGTCATGGAGTGCTTCTGGCAGAGGGAGCACTGGTAGGGCTACTTCTCGGTGTGCACGAGCCTGTGTTTCCTGAGAGAGCAGTTTTTGCTGAAGGCCTTGCTGCACTGGCTGCACTTATAGGGCTTCTCTCCAGTGTGTACGCGCCAATGTGTCCTCAGCGAGGACTTTTGGCTAAAGGCCTTGCCACACTGGCTGCACTTGTAGGGCTTCTCTCCAGTGTGCACACGCTGGTGCGTCCTGAGGGAGAAGTGCTGTCTGAAGGCCTTGCCGCACTGACTACATGTGTATGGCTTCTCTTCAGTGTGCATCCTCTGGTGCAGGATGAGGTACTCGTTCTGACTGAAGGCCTTGCCACAATCCCCACACACGTATGGATTCTCCCTAGTGTGCATCCTCTGGTGCAGGATGAGGTTCCCTTTCTGTCTGAAGGCCTTGCCGCAGTTGTCACACATGAATGGCTTCTCCTCAGTGTGTGTCTTCTGGTGCCGGAGAAGTTGCTTTTTCAGGAGGAAGGTCTTTCCACAATACTCACACATGTATGCCTTCTCTCCATTGTGTGTCCTCTGGTGTTCACTGAGGGTCTCCTTGCGGCTGAAGGCCTTGCCACAGTCCCCACATACATATGGCTTCTCCCTAGTGTGCATCCTCTGGTGCTGTTTGAGGTTCCCTTTCTGTCTAAAGGCCTTGCCGCAGGTGCCACACATGAAAGGCTTCTCGCCAGTGTGCGTCCTCTGGTGCTGGATAAGAAGCCTTTTCTGAATGAAGGCATTTCCACAATACTCACACGTGTATAGCTTCTCTCCATTGTGTGTCCTCTGGTGTTCATTGAGGGTTTCCTTTCGGCTGAAGGACTTGCCGCAGTCCCCACACAGGTATGGCTTCTCTCCAGTGTGAGTCCTCTGGTGCCGGATGATGTACGTCTTTTGGCTAAAGGACTTCCCACAGTCCCCACAGACATATGCCTTCTCCCCACTGTGCATTCTCTGGTGCTCTTTGAGATTCCCTTTCTGTCTGAAGGCCTTGCCACAGTCCCCACATGTGAATGGCTTCTCCCCAGTGTGCGTCCTTTGGTGTAAGATGATGTGCGCCTTCAGCCTGAAGGCCTTGCCGCACTCCCCGCACACATACGGTTTCTCCCCGGTATGCGTTCTCTGGTGCTGGATGATGTTCACCTTCAGCATGAAGGCCTTGCCACAGTCCCCACACGTGTAAGGTTTCTCCCCGGTGTGCACACGCTGGTGGACGGTAAGGGATGACTGCTGGGTGAACTGCTTCCCACACGTGTGGCATGACAAGAGCTTCTCCCCAGTGTGGATTCGCTGATGCATCCTCAGGGATGAGGTGTAGCTGAAGGCCTTGCCACATTCCCCACACTCGTATGGCTTCTTCTCTACATTGAGGGTGGAGAGAGGAACGAGGACTGAAGTACCTGAGTCCTTCCCACACACGGTGAATGGGTGTGTCTCCGCTCCCCTATGTCCCTCTGATATCACTGCGGCCCACGTGGGGCTTTGATGGACGAATGTCTTAAACTCACAATATTCAGGGGCTAATGCTTGGGATATGTCCAAATTCCCCAGACAGGTTCCTGGACTCTCCTGCTGCCACTCCACCCAGTCACCCTGTGTCCCTGCTCCTTCACAGGGGTAACTCCGGGCACCATTCTTCATGGGTCCTTCTGCAACAACCACAACAGATGGTCTGTCTTCCCAATCGTCCTCCTGTGGGTCCAGTTCCTTCGTGTCAGGTCTAGTCTCCACGTCTGAGGGGAGGGGAAAGAGATGGCGACACACATGTAGTTAACCACACTGGGAGGCAGGATCTTCCCAAAGCACCCCAAGGCACAGCCTAAGAGCAGGGGACACCTGTCGTGGGGACACAGGGAGAAGGGAAGCAGTGATTTGAGACAGTGAGGTTGAGGGAGGGGAGTAGAGAGTAAGAAATGTCCCTTTGGGAGTGGGTGCAAAGGTGGACAGCGCAGCTCACATGGGAAGACAGACCTCTGAGGAGAAAGAGGAGGATGGTAGGCTTGGAGGCATGAGTCAGAAGCTCCCCCAAACACAGTGAGCCTTCACTACACCAGACCCCTGACTTCCAGGCCTTGTCTTACGTGCCCCAGCCAGCTGTGCTTCTCAAATCATTGACTGTAATTAGAAACAGTAAAGTAAAAGCTGACTCACATGTGGGTGTACTGGTTGTTCTCTGTGTCCCCACAGGCTCACCAAGCACCCATCTTCCTACACTGCCCAGGAGTGACCTGTCCCTTGTGGCTGGGGCCAGACCACTCGTGTTGCACACTCATCCCTTCACGCTGATCACAGCCATTCCAATCCCCTCCTGCATGGGTCCTACAGATGCCTCAATTTCTGTTTCCACCTAGAGGCTGTCCTGAGTTCCAGACTCTGCACATGGACATCAGGGTTCCTCCCAACATTAAAAACTGTGAGATCTTATACAAAAATCTCGTTAAAAAAGGGGAAGGTCCAGCTGCACACAGCCCTCCATCATAGGAGGCAACAAAGATAGGAGTGGTAAGTAGCTGTCCCTCTACCCCCATTTAAGGCCCCACTGGCCTCACAACATGTGAGTGTGAGGTCCCTCCCCTCAGTCCTGAGACCCCAGGCGTCAGTCTCTATGCTGACACCTCCTAATGGATGCCCCCACCCAGACCCCCTTTCTCAGCTCTACTGAGAAATAAACCAAGGCCTACAGGGCATTCTTCTCCAGTGTCCAAACCTAATGCATTGGATGCAAACCAGAATCTAGGAACCTCTAGTCCCTGATAATAGAAACAAGAAAAGACCTATCCAGGTAACTTAGTAAAATAAGACAGACCACTATGACCTATACCATAGGATTCCACTCCTGTGAGGCAAATAGGACTGTCAAAGTGACAGAGGCAGAAAGTAGGACAAGGGTGCCAGAAACAGGGGTGGGGGATGTGAAGCTGCTCATTAGAGGAGACAGACTGTCAGCTGGAGATGAAGAAGCATCCTGAGGGTGGACAGTGGTGATGGTTGAACAAGAATGTGACTGTATATCAAGCCATGGAACTGTGCATGTAACAATCGTTAAATGGTCAGAAACAAAATAGTTAAACAGTTCATTGAATCTTATGTTTGTTTTGCAACCATTAAAAAAAAATAAATGTTTTGCCCTGGCTGGTGTGGCTCAGTGGACTGAATGTCGGCCTGCAAACCAAAAGGTCGCCAGTTCTATTCCCAGTCAGGGTAAATGCCTGGGTTCTGATCCAGGTACCCCGTCTGGGGCTTGCGAGAGATGACTGATCTATGTATCTCTCACTTATTGATGTTTCTCTCACTGTTTCTCCCTGCCTTCCTACCTCTCTAAAAATAAATAAATAACACTTGTAAAGAAAATAAAGAAATTTTTCTATCATTTAAAAAGAAAAATATTTACTAGTCATCCTTAACTCACCTTTTCCCTTACACCATTTGGACTGTTAAGAAATGGCACCACATAGAAGAAAGAACACCTTGAACTGGACCAGCCCGACCCAACACCCCTGCTGCCAATGCAGCAGCCTCCCCCACTCTCTACCACCCACTGTCTACTCCATGGGAAGAGGAGCTCAGGTTGGACCAAACCCTCCAGCACCTTCCCAGTACCCTGGAGACAATAGGCAACGCCTTCGCACTCTTCTGAATCCTCTACACCATCCAGCCCACTTGTCCTTGTTTCCCTTTGGTTTCCTTGTCCATGGCCAATGTTTCCTGCCTCAGAGCCTTTGCACCTGTCTTTCCCCCAGCCTTCCCATGGGCGCTCATCCTTAAACCCTACTGAGCCTTTGTCCCCCACAGGGAGGCCTTCTCTGTCCACCCTGCTGTGGAAAGGAAGCTCCCACCTGCTGTTCTCTCGCCTGCATCACTGTGAGTGACCATGACAGTGCTTTTCCTCCTACACACTGTCAGCTCCTGCAGTGGGAGGTGAGCTCCGTGAAGGCAAGAGCCTTGCTGGTCCCCAGCTCACAGTTTTTAGGACATGGAAGGCACCTGATAAACCTTCACTGAGTGTCGGCCATGTGCTGGCATGGTATAGAGTAGCCCACACCACACGTGAGTGGTTGCTAGCAAGTTTACACCCAAATTACTGATGCTGAAACCGAGGCTTTGAGAACTGAGCCACAGCCAAAATGTCACCCAGCAAATCTGATCATGTGAACAAATCCCTGGGTCACTATCTAGCCCCTGTACCCATCTTATCCTGGAGGAAAGGATTTGAGAAGTATGCAAGGTAGAAAAGATCTTGGATTCATGGCCTGAGGTGTGGGGGTAATGCCGGATGTCAGAGCAGGTGGTGGATTGGGACATGGAGGCTGAGGGTAACTTTCCAGGGGGAAGAGGGAAAGAGGGTGACAGTGGGTATGTTTGGGGCCCGTGGGTCTGAGATACACCAGGGACAGAACTGGCCTGCGGCTGCACAGATTGGAGAGAGGAGTCTTGGGTGTGAACATGCTCAGAAACACAATCCCCAAAGGAAGTCATTGGAAAACTGGACTTCATCAAATTACAAACTTCTCAGCAACAAACAGTGCTGGGGCATCTGGGTATACACATTCAAAAATGGTGATGACATGTGGTGATCAAAGGTGATGTGACTTTGGGTGGTGGGCACACAATGTAACATACACATCATTTATCACAGAAATGTACACTTGAGATCTGTATGATCCTATTAGCCAATGTCACCACAATAAATTTAATTTAAAATAAAAACAGTGACATTAGCCGCTTTTTACACCATTCACAACAATTAACTCAAAGTTAACCAAAGACCTAAATAAACGGCTAACATTCTAAAACTTGTAGACAAAACAGGAGGAAGCCTTCATGGCTTTTAGTCAGGCAACAGTGCGTCAAATATAACACCAAAAGTGCATGTAGCAACAAAATAAATTGGACTCCATCAATATTCAAAAAGGTGACATTTCTAATGATGCTATCTAGGAAGAGAAAAAACTGCCCACAGAGTGAAAGCAATAGTTGGAAAACACATACCTGATAAAAGACTTAGAGAAAGAATTAACATCAAAAGAATATGTACAGAACTTTCAGAACCGAATGATAATGAAGCAAACAACCCAAGTGAAAAAAAAAGGGCAAAAGACTTGAACCAGACATGTCACCAAAGAGAGTACACTGGTGCCAAATAGGCACCTGAAAAAAGTTCTCAGTATCATATTAAAGGTGGAATGTGGTAAGACTGCACACCAGTGAGAATGGCTACAATGAGAGACACTGAAGTTGTTCAGTTTGACAAGCACATGAATCAATGCCATACCTGGTTCGTGGTGGTGGAATTGAAAAAAATGAGACAGCTGCTTTGAAAAAAAGTTTGGCAGTTTCTGAAAAAGTGAAATGTGCACCTATGTATGACCCAACCATTCTCAACAGCAGGAACATCGTGTGTCTACAGAAAAAGACCAGAACTGAAAGCAACTGATGTGTTTATTGTCAAGTGAATGGATAAACACACTGTAGTCTCTCCATGAAGTAGAGTACTGTTCAACAATAAAAAGAAGTCAGCTCCTGCCCTCACCAGGTGGCTCAGCAGGTCTGAGCATCCAGAGTACTGAGAGACGGTAGGTTAGATCCCAGGTCAAAGTCTGTGCAGGAGGGCAAGGGATTGATGTTTCTCATTCTCTATCCCACTATCAAATCAATAAACATATCTTTGGGTGAGGACTTAAAAATAAAAAAAAAAAGAAAGAAAGAAAGAAAGAAAAGAAAAAACACAAGGGAACAACTGATACACACAGACTACATGGGTAAACCTCAAAAAGAAAATGATGCCGAGTGTAAGAAGTCAGTTAAAAAAAAAAAAAGAGTACGCACCATATGATTCCATATATGTAAAATCCTAGAATAGGCAAAGTAAACCACAGTGGTGGATGGGGGACTCAGGGTAGGGGAAAGAAAAGAAAAACATCTTGGCCTAATGGACCTGTCTGCACCATGACAAATTCCCAGCTGGATACAAATATCAAAATGCATCAAATCGTTCCCTTTAACTAGGTGCAGTAATTGTAGGTCAGTTAAACCTCCACCAAAGCTGTTAAAGGAATGGGATTGTACACTAATTCTGAAAGTTAGAGGAACAATATTATTCAGGGCATTTCTCTGTGTCAGTGACTACAAAGTTTGCTCATCTTTGAAGAGAGCTGTGATTTCTATTGTATTGCTACATCCTGATTTGTTTGGTCAGTCTTGTAGGTGGGCATCTAGGCCATTTCTCCAGATTTTTCTTCCTTTGAAAAACTCTGCATGCTTAATTAAATGATTTATTTTAGAAATGAAATCATTTGAAGTTTGGTTGGTAGCTCCAAAATGTCTCCCAAAATAGCTGTCAATTCAGGATCCTAAAATGAGGACACCTTTCCCTACATTTTTATACTACATGTTTGTCTTACTCTTTTATTTCATGTCTCACCAGAGTATATGCTTCCAGAGGGAGGAAGTAAATGGGGAGGGAGACGGGGAGAAAGAGAGAAAGACTGATCAGTTGCCTTCTGTATGTGCCCTGCCAGGGTTCAAAGGGACAAGCAAGATATGTACCCTGACAGAGAACTGAGTCCCCAGTCTTTGGGTATATGGGAGGACACTCCAAACAACTCAGCCACAAGCAGCCAGGGCTAGTATCCTTTTTCATGTCTCTATACCTTATGGTTGGTAATTCTTTGACTAATAGTAATGTTGAAAAATATTTTGTAATGTGTACCTCCATGCATTTCTACATCTGTGAACTGTCTGCTCATCAGCTTGGTACATCTTTCTATTCTTCTTTCAGTTCTTTTCTCATTTAATCCTAGGAGCTCTTTCTATATTCATAATCCTGACTGTTATACATGCAGTAAACACTCTTCCCAACTGCATCACCTAATAGGTTTATTTTTAGCTTCCAATAATGTGAAAATCCTGCATGTAAGATACATCTACCATTTTATTTCTGTGTTATCTTGAAGTGCCAGGCAGGTGGCGAGTAACACTGTAAGGCTGTCCCCTTACCCAGGGAAATCAAGTTCCAGTAGACCTCCATCATCACGTCCCTGTACAGGTCCTTCTGTGCAGGCTTCAGCTGCTGCCACTCCTCTTGAGTGAAGTCCACAATCACATCCCTGAACCCCACCGACCCCTGTAAGAGGAAGCGCACATAACTCACTGTAGGGCCCTCCTCACAGCATTCAAGATACTTGGCTCGAAGGGCTGAGAGGATCAGGAAGGCACACAGGATGCACCTGACATGGTGTCTACAAGGTGTGGAGCACTGAAGGTCCTGACCACTCAGTGTCCTCAGTGCCTGAGTAGACCCGATGGTCCTCAGAGGGACAAACTATGGGGCTGTTCATAGGAAGGCAAACAACACAATCCAAAAATGGGCAAGAAACCTGAGTAGATAGTTCTCCAAAGAGAACACACAGATGGCCAAAAACATGTGAAAAAATACTCAACATGACACATCATCAGGGAGCTGCATATGAAAACCTCAGTGATATATCATCTTACACTATGAAACAAAAACACCCATAAAGGACCCATTACTGGCAATACCATGGTCAGACAGGTCAGAGCAGCATGTGGTTTGGTTCTTGATGGCAGATTCCAGGTGGGGCATGTGCATCAAGACCTGAGGCTTAAATGGCAGATGGAAAACACAGAGGATGCTCATGCTAAAATACCCAAATAAACAAAGCAACTGGTGAAATGATAAATGTCTTTTACTTTATGGAAAAAAAAACATAGAAAAGGCAAACTAAATAATCTTATTGGTCAATCTTTTTGGTCAATCCAATAAGTACAAACTTTTCAAATAACCACTGAGGCCACAAACGCATCCAACCCCTGTTACCCTTTATTATTCTACTTATTTCATTAAAATTTTTAAAATATAATACACGTTCACAATATTCTCACCTGAATAAACTCACTTAATGAAATTTTTACCAAGCAGGCTCCATGCACCAAGCCCAGGCTGGGACAGGCTGAAACCAGGAGAAGGTCCTGGGCATTAGGGCGCCCACATGGAACAGCCACAGTGGGGTAAATGAGACACGGGACCCGTCCTCAGAAGGGTCGCAAGGTTCTCCTGGAAATGGGGCTTCCCTCCAAGTGTGCCAAAGCCCTCAGAGTGCACTGTGGGCTCATGATTGAGGCCACGCATCCAGGGCTCCATCTGTTTTGGATTCTTGTCTAATGGCACAAACCACCTCGCCACAAGAAAAACCTCATCCAGTTCCAAAGAGGTGAAATCAAGCTCTATTTTTTTTTTTAATTTCTCACCAGAGGATATCTTTGTTGATTTTAGAGCGGGAGGAAGGTAGTGTCAGAGAGAAAGACAGACAGACAGACAGACAGACAGACAGACAGACAGACATCGATTTGTTGGCCTCATGCACATGCCCGACTGGGGATCTATTCCTTCAACATATTGCTGTGCAGGATGATGGTACAACCAACTGAGCAACCCAGCCATGGAAGGCTCTATTTCTAGAAAAATGAGAATGTAACTACACTAAAACAGATTAAAAAAAATTGAACCTCCAAATCCCAACCATGTGGAAATGACAACCATCGGGAATCCTCTACAATGTTTCTAAAGGAAGAAACGAAGGCAACGATCACAGAGAAGGTAACAGTGGAGACACCATGGTGCAGCCACATTGGAAAACAGTCAGATTGTTCCTTAAATGATTAAATGTACTGTTATGAAAGGACCCATAATCTCCTTTCCTACACTCAAGACAAATGAGGAGTTCAAACGAAAAACTGTCCATGAATGTTCATAGGAGCATTACCAACAACCAAAAAGTGAAAACAACCCAAATGTACACTTCCAGGTAAATGCATACACACACGCTCTACCTGGACACTAGAAATAGTATACAGCCATGAAAAATAACACCTGCTACTATACAGATGAGCACCAAAAACATGAGGCTAGGTGAAAGCAGACAGAGTTAAAAAACCACAAGCTGTGTGATTCCACTGATAAGAAATGTGAAGCCCTGGCCAGGTGACTCAGCTGCTTGGAGAGTTGTCTGTGTAACCACAGGTTGAGGGTGCAGTCTGTGATTGGGGGCACATATCAGAGGCAACCAATTGATGTTTCTCTCACATATCGAAGTTTCTTTTCTCTCCCTCTCTTTCTCCCTCTAATTTCTGTTCTAAAAATAAATAATATTAAGAAATTTAAACCTTTCAGGACAACAACATTTCCTGAGGATCAGGAAAACAGGATAAAAAGTTTGCTTTCCTGAACAAATGGCAAAAAAACATTTTGTAAAAATCAAAGCTCACTAACACCACAAATGATGCTACTCAGAAAGAGATCAGTTGCCACCTACCACACAGACAATTTATACCACTTGTTATTTGTACTCAATGAGCAGAACGAGCACCAACAACCGCCAATGTGAAACACTGGCAGCTCCTGCTGCACGGTACTAGGGGAATAAACTGTCCCCACCTCGTAACTATGAAAACCTCTGAAAGGCCTTAAAAATACCCACCATCACCTTCATCTACAAAGAAGCCCCTGGAGAAATCATAAAGACCTGGCTGGTGTGACAGGCCACATGCCTGGCCTGCAGGCCAGTCCCAGATGGGGTCGTGCAAGAGGCAACTCATTGATGTTTGTCTCCCACAAGGATGTTTCTCTCCCTTTACTTCTCCCTCCATCCCACTCTCTCTTAAAAAACAAACAAACAAACCTTAAATCTTTACACAGTTGCTCCACCTTCCATAATTTAAAAAAAAAAGTTTTAAATCATAAAAAAGGCAGGGTAAATATATGTGTCTAGTCCTGGCCAGGTGGCTCAGTTGATTGGAGCAATCAAATGTTGTCCATTTGATCCAGGATTGGGGTATATACAGGACTAACCAATTGATGTTTCTTTCTCACATCTCTGTTTCTCTCTCTCTCTTCTCTTCCTGCAGCTCAGTGAACATCCTCTGGTAATGATAAAAACAAGGAAAGAGCTCTGGCAGGTGTGGCTCAGTGGATTGAATGCAGGCCTGCAAACCAAAGAGTCACTGGTTCCATTCTCAGTCAGAGCACATGCCTGGGTTGCTGGCCAGGTCCCCAAAGGGGGTGCATGAAAAGCAACCACACAATGATGTTTCTCTCCTTCTATTTCTCGCTCCCTTGTGTCTAGAAATAAATTGGGCCTCTCTCTAGAAATAAATAAGTAAAACCTTTTAAAATTAAAAAAAAAAACACACACACACACAACTGATTTGAGAGAAGGTGCAAGAGAAAAAGATGTTGTTCCACTTATTGTTCACTGCTTCTTGTATGTGCCCTGACCAGGGATTGAACCCACAACCTTGGCATATCAAGATGATCCTCTAACCATCTGTATGCTACATCTGTATGCTTTTATTGTAAAGTATTGCTTCCAATGAGAGAAATTTAGACAAAAATACCACAAATAGCCACCCACTAAAACATCATAAAACATCACAGCCACAGCCACAGACTCTCAGGTCCCTCACCACGAGTCCTCCTCCCATCCCTCTTTAGTCCCCTGGGCATTCAGTGCCACCTGCCTATTTCTGAAGGCCCATTGCTCAGTACATACTGCCCAGGGCCTCTGTTACACACACTGCCCAGGGCAGGTGTCAGGACAGTACTCTCCCAATTCAGGGTGGACACAGTCTCAGGAGAATGGGCCAGGGACTGAGGCCCTGAAGGAGTTTGTGGGGCAGAGAGAGGGTCATCCTTGCCCAGAAGCCTAACCCTAAGGAAGGAGGTGTGAGAGGGGGACATGACTCACCAGGGTCTTTGTGGTCGGCTGCTGGGTGGCCATCCTTCCAGTGCCCATGGTGACTGGGGCACAGGCAGGCTGTAGAAAGAGAAAGGCAAAATGAGAGACCAGGTAGAGGCCCAATCTACAATGCAGAATGACAGACAGACACACCTCCTAGAAGACAGGCAGACAGGGACAGGCATACATCTTAATAGTGAAAGCACCCTGGGGACCAATGGCATTTAAGGCGATCCACAAACACTGACTTAATTCTCCTGACACCCTACAGTTTGCAGGCTATTTCCATTACACCATTTCACAGATGAGGAAACTGAAGCCCCAAAATAGAAGACATGCACCCAAGAAGATAAGGCTGAGATCATGACTGGGCCTAGTAAGCAGGGTCCCTGTGCTTGGGGCACACGTCACTTCCACACAGGCACGCCCCCAACACACACGCATGCGCACACAGCCAGTCCCACAGCCTGGAGGGAGGAACAGGACCCTCTACCCCAGCCCTGGTTCTGAGTGCTGCACCAGGCCCCAGAAGTCACCCCAACACCAACACAACCCAGACAAGGGAAGGCTTGGACAGGAGGGATGCAACCCCACACGCACAGACACACAAGCGCAGAGGAAAAGACCAGACACAGGAGGACCCCTGGATGGTGCCTTCACAGGGAGACACCGCGGAAGGAAACAAAGGCAGACACGCACAAAGACGTGCACACAGATGACCCAGGAGAGACCAAGACAGGCAGTCGACACACACATAAGCAAAGGGGAGACTCAGGAGGCTACCCGGCCACACGTGCTGACAGACATGGAGAAACACTCATGGAGACCACCTGGGGGGGGGGCGGTCTCAGGGCAACGCGCGCGCGCGCGCACACACACACACACACACACACACACAAACGCACACTCAGCTACAAACACCACCTTCCCCAACACATCCGTGCCCCCTCCCGAATCCTCAGGCCCCTTCCCTCGCACCACAAGCTCTCTACTTCCTCCCTGGCTCCCTCCGCAGCCAGAGACACCACACGGCTACCTCAGGAAAGTGACCACCGGCCTCCGCCAGGACCCCCGATCACACTGGGCCTGCTCGGGCCAGTAAGACCACACTTCCCAGAACCCCCTGTGGCTTCCGATCAAAGAGAGACTGCTACTGACCATTGTGGGCCCCAGAGGCAACCCTGTAGGTCTATGTCCCAGAAGGCCCCGCGCAGCCCCGGCGTCAAGGAGGCGGAGTCCGAGGGTGATCTGGGCAAGTGACTGGCAGTGGTGCCTGAAGCGGGAGGAGGATCAGAGAGCAGGACTGGACCTGCAGGAGCTGGGTGGAAGGACGAAGCTGGGGCCTGGGCAGGGCAGGAAAAGGACAGAAGAGAGCAGGGAGAGGGGGAGGTGGGAAGTTGCAAAAAAGACGCTTCAGACCCCCTGCAGACCTCCAGCATCCTGCCAGGTGTCCTGATAATCATGCTGACTTGCAGAAAATGTGTAAAGCGTGCACAGACGCAAGAAAGCAAGTGAGCGTAATCAGAGAAATATGAGCCCTTCCCGTTGTACAGCCCCTGCTCTGGTCATATTATTATTACTGAAACAAAGGGGGGTTCTGCTGCCTGTGCCTCTTTCGCTTCAACAGGCACATTCTAGAGGCACGGGCTGGTGAGAAAGGAAAAACGTTTTAATTCAGTTGCTGGAGGGTCACGGAGAACGGCAGATTTTTGTCTCAAAACCCATCCTCTCTGGAAAACCTCAGGGAAAACACAGCTGCCCTCAGCCAGACCAAAACGGAAGACCGTGTCACGTTCCTGCTCCCTTTCAAAGTACTGTCTTTTGGGAACTGCAGGTGCCCGGGAGCAGTCACCCAGGCAGCTCAGCTCGCTCCCGCTCCCCGCCACTGTTCTGTTTCAACCTCCCTGTCAGAAACCGCAGGAAGTGGTCAGACAGGCCGCTTCCAGGGCCACAAGGTCGCTCTAACTCACCTCTCTCTAAGTGCGCCAGGTGGGCAAAAGAAAGGACCTTGCTTACCTTGGTTTATATTAGTTTTGGGGGTGGGACGGTCTGAATGCCCAATAAACTACACATTTCCGCGTGCTGGGGACAGGGGTGGTCTACGCATGACCAATCGCTTGTTCTCCCCAAGCTAGACTGACAGGCTAGCCTTAGGTGCTGCACTTCCCCCATTGTGGCCCCTCTGACCTCTGGGGTGCACCTGCCCGTCTTCCCTGGCCCCGCCCCCAACCTCTTATCACTACGGGGTAGGAGGGCTTTCCCTTCCTCGACTCACCCTGCTAGCATTTCACCTACTCAGTGCTATTCCTGCTATCTCCTGCTGCCCTCCTGCCTGGGGCAGAGTGTCTGCCTCCAGGATAGGGTGCTCCATGGGAAAAGCAGGAGCTCGGTTACCAGGGCAACAAGACCCCACCCACCGCCTCGCCTTTGCCTAGGGAGACAGAGGTCACCTCAGGAGGTTCCTGCTTTTCCTGCCCTTCCTCCTCTCACCGGTCCTGTCTGGCTATCTGTATCCTCAAGATGTACAAACTCATTTAGTCCTGGCTACCAGGCTACTTTCCAGATGAGGATACTGATACAGGCAAGGGAGTTCACACAGGAGGAATATGGGGGAGTTGGGGTGGGAAAGAGGTCTCCAGACTGGGGAACTCTTACACCATGAACCACACACACACACACACAAAAAAAACCAAGTGCAAAAGCAGTTGCTGCCCCAGTTGGTGTGGCACAGTGGATTCACTGCCTGCCTGTGAACCAAAGGGTCACCAGTTGACTCCCAGTCAGGGCACACAGGTGGGTTGCAGGCCAGGTCCCCAGTGGGCGGGAAGGGGGCAGTACATGAAAGGCAAGCATGTGTTGATGATTCTCTCCCTCTCTTTCTCCCTCCCTTACCCTCTCTAAAAATAAATACAATCTGTTTTTTTAAAAAGCATTTGCTGAAAGTCTCAATGACCACAAAAATTGCAAACTGCAGCTGCCTTAGGTGGTGATTAGTGACTTCTTTTTCTTTCTGTTTTAATTCTCACCTAGGGATATGTGTATTGATTTTAGAGAGAGAGGAAGGGATAGAGAGAAAAATGATGTGAGAGAGAAACATCACTCTATTGTGATCTGTAACATTCTGGCTCACCACATGATGTTCCATCTAAGTGAGCCACTGGGCCAGGGCTCTACCCCTTTGGGACTGACCTCTTCAAGCTGTTGAACCAGGCTATTTGAGCTCTCTGTGGCACTGACTCCTACTCCCACAGACCACATGATTGTGTGAACGCCCTCCCCCGACCTGTCACAGGTGTCTTGGTCAGACTGGCTGAGCTGTCCCTGACTGACTCTCTAAGCAGAATGCAAGGAGCTCTGTACCTCTTACTGCCTCAAAGAACTCAGCCACCTGGGAAAGAGCCCTGCTATTTATTGCCAGTAAACAAAGCTCTCTAGGTCTTGGGAAGTGCGGGATGAAAGCAGATGAGGGCTAAAACTGCACATTTTTAAGAGGCATCTTTGTCTTTTGGAATGGCAGTGCATGCCTTCAACCTGACTGAAATTATTAACATGGAGTTTCAAACACCATTCTATGGGAAAAAATGTACCCCTCCCGAAAATTGAAAAACAAAGCACAGATGTGGTTCATGATGCAAGGATTCATGATGATGGTTACTTGGATTGTGGAAAATTGTGGGAGGGCTATGTCAGGACATGTGAGGACATGTGTTACTTGCAAGGTTCTAGTTTTTATGGTGCGAGGTGGGGCCAAAGATATCTTGTGTATCAGAATACAGCATGACTATATTTTATGATACTTTGAATTATAAACACTTGAAATCTTATTTGAGTGGCATTTTTTTGAATGACAAGAACTCTTGCAATTTCAAATTTCCTAAAAAATCCTTACTGTCTATAGGATCACTTGTGTAAACTGTAAACAGTGTTTGTTATTTTAGGATCACTTTGGCTGGTGAAGAGACATGCCAATCATCTCTAGTTAGGGTTGGCCTTGTACTATGCAGGTTTTGAATGGTGCAACGTCTTCAAGAATGACCCCCTGGCATAAAAATCTAGCAACTCTGGAAATGGTGAATGAATGGATGGATATGTTTGTTCTTCCCAAAGATCTGCTCACCAGGGAAAGCATGGCTGCTCACATTGCTCAAGACACAGACATTCACAAAACACCAACACTGTGCTAAATAGTGCAAGAGACACCAGAGGTGTGTCCCCTTCCCCTAAGAGGATGATCTCCACAACTACTTAAGGAGCAGGAAGCTTTCAGGATCTGATTTTAGCTATTTCTTTATTTAGTTAGTTTTAGAGAAAGGAAAAGGAAAAAGAGAGATACATCAATTGGTTGCCTCTTACATGACCCCAAATGGGGACCTGGGACCTCAATGCAGGCATGAGCCCTGACAGAACTGAACTGGTGAACTTTCAGTTTGCAGGTGGTCAATCAGTCCACTGAGCCACATCAGCCAGGCCCTGATTTGAACTTTTGATCTGATAGTCCTACACAACTCTAGTTCTTCCCTACTTTGTGAACTTTTCGTGGAGTTGTTGGCCCAGTGGCTTTGGATTCCAAATCCTATAAACTAGATTTCTTTATATTAAAAATGTTTTTTTTTTATTGGCATCTGCCTTGCTTTCTGTAATTTCATCTCCTTCACAGTGGGAACTGTGTGTTTCTAATACACTGCTGAGTCACCAGCTGTTAGGACTATTTTGGGCACATGCAAGATATTCCATGACTTTTTTCTCAAGGGTTAAATGAGTAAAAGGTGATGCTTATTAATGTAAAGCATTCCAATGTCTCCATATGGGCAAGTCATTGATTTAAGAATGAAAGTGAGTGAGCTGCACCAAGTGCATCAGTTGTCTGGGTGCAGCCCATGGTCTGTGCAGCCAGGCCACCCACAATCATGGAAACCCTGTTGGGTAAGACTCTGTCTGCCAGGAGCCCAAGCCACAGGCAGGGGAGCTGTTGTTCCCTCCTCTGGGCCATCTATCGATGGGGGCCTAAAAAGCAGGGCTGTATGGCACCAAGTAAAGACTTTTGTAAGTAAGGATCACCCCCACAAGGAGAAGAATCT